TATAAACCTTTTGTAATAGTAATTAGTGTTAGTAATAACGTAATTAATTATAACTTTTAATAATAGATCTCTTAGTTCTAGCATTAATAAAAAACGCAGCAAAATATAATACGTAGTGTAAATTACAGAATTTAGTAAATTATTAAATCTTTAAACGTACATTACGCTCTTTAGTATTCTAAAGAGTATGCCTATTTAAGCGTTATTTATACTCTTAAGCTTTGCTTAGTGTTAGGCGTCTTTTATCTCTAGTTTACTAGAGACTTGCCTTAAAGTTATTAGTAGCTAGTCTACTAGTTTTAGAGCGCAGCACAAGTTGCGCTCTTTACTAGCTAAGGTTAGCGTCTAGTAAGCCTTTTTTTTAACTTTTAACCTTAGATTAAGTAGAAATACCTACTAAACTTAAGTATATTAATAAGCAGAGGTACAAGAAACTAACTAGAATTGCTCTAGTAATAGTAAGTAAAGCAGTAACAGCTTAAATTTAAAATCTAGCTCTTTTAGAGTTTAAGTTATAATTTATAGAGAGCGCTTTAGCTTTAGTAGTAGTCTAAGTTTCTTAGAATAGAATGTTATAGAGGGTAAGAATTCTGTATATAGTCGCTAGCTATTACTATATAAAGCCTCTTTAACAAGTTAAGTTATTTAGAAATATAGCTCTAAATAGAAGGTATATTTCTTCTAAAGCTAAATATTAGCTAGAGACTAATAGCGTATAAGTAGAGTAATTAAAAGATAAAAAGCACTTTAGAAAAAGAGTTAAACAGTACGTAAAATTGTTAAAAGAGAAGCGCTTACAGCTAGACTTACTTATAGTTACTTATCTAGGCTTTTACCTAGTGCACTCTTCTATAGGTAGGCTAGTATTAGTTTAGATAGTAAGATAAAGGTCTCTATTACGTACCTCTCTTTAGAGAGGCCTTATAGAGAAGACAATATATTACTAGTCTAGACTAAGGTCTGCGTATCTACTAGAATGCTAGCGTAATAGCTATAAGCGGCCTGTCTTAAAATATAGACTAAGAAGTCTAACATCTATATAAGTGTTTAGGTGTTAAGCCTAAGCGCGTAATAAAAGTAAATAGAGGTAGAAACCTATAAGAGTGCACTATTAACTAATTCTAATATCTTTAGAAGAATTTAAGTAAGAGTATAGCTATTAGAATCTAAAAGATAGTAAACTATACTTAAATAGAGTAAAGCTAGAGAAAACTCTAGTAGAGGCTTGCAGTAGTTCTAACGTGCAAATTAATTATTAAATTTAGGTATAGAGGCAAAAGACTAATTAAACTATCTAGTAGCTAGTTTCTGCTAAAGTTTCTCTTAGAATAGTAGTAACGTATTTAGTTTTATAAGGTAAAGCGAATAATTAGAGGCCTAGAGGCTAAAATAGCTTTTACCTATTCTTAAACTTTAAATATATAAGAAGTTCTTATTACTTAATTAAACATAGATAGTTAAATAAAACGTTATTAGTAGGCTATTTTTAGTAAGCAGAACTAGCGATACAGAATAAACTAAACAGAGGGTTAAAGTGCTAGAATACACGCTTATTAGACACTACAAAAGGTATTAGTTTATCTAGATAGTAGAATAGTAGCTATAGAAGTTAGAATCTGCTAAGAAATATATAATAACTTATCTACTAAATAAACTAGCTCTAAAAATAGATAGCGCTTAAGCGTATTACCTATTTTTTATAAAGTAAAGTTTTATATCTAAATAACTTAGAATATAAGTTTAAAAGCTAATTACTTAAGTTTTTAAAGTATAATTAGCTATCTTAAATAATATAATTATAGTATATTAGTATTATTTAAAGTAATATAGTAAACTAATATAATACTTTTAGTATAATATTTCTATAAGTAAAGCTAATAGATATTAAAATCTTATATAGCTTTACTTTTAGTAGTAATATAATATAATATATTAAATTTACTTACTATATATACTATAAGAAATAATATTTATTATAGTTAAAAATTAATATAAAGAAAAGTATAAGATATTTATAATACTAAGTAGAAGTAAAAAGATTAAAATAAAAGTAATATAATAAGTATATATTATATAGTATAAAGTATATAGCTAATAGAAGCTTATACTAGCTAGCTTATAGATAAACTATAAAACTTTTACTAAAAAGTTAGTATCTTAAACTAGAAGTTAAAAATTATAGTACTATATATAAAGCTATAGTATAATTTTACTCTTATACTAAAGTAAATTCTATACTTTAGTAAGTTAATAAATTTAGAGATCTATAATAAAGACTTAATAGTAACTTTAGCTTTTCTATATCTTAGTATATATTCTATTTTTAGTATTAATCTTAGTAATTATTTAAGTATATTTATAATAAATCTATTAAAAAATATTTACTTTTAGATTTATTTAAAAGCTTCTATTCTTTTAATAGATATCTTAGAACTATACTTTACTACTATATATTAGATAGACCTATCTTACGTACCTTATCTACGCGCTTACGTGCATTAGGTAATACTATACAACTGTCTTATTCCCGGAGACGCTAAAGGTTAACAGGCTTACGAAAACCAACTCGTTCTGCACGTCCCATATTTCTATTCACCAGCATCCCCCACGGTATTAAACGTCTTTCTTCGCCCGTAGCTAGTCTTTATCGCGATTACCCTGCACAAATGGCCAGTCAACGCGTCGACGCGAAGGAGGTTGCAGACTTGAACACTGTCATGGGTCGCAACCTTCAGACATGGCCTGGCGCGCGCGACATTAGGATACAAGAAGCCACCCTGAATGCTGAAGCTCGCCATCAAGATGCACAGCACACACACGACAAGCCAAGCCAGCCTGCTCTCGCCCGCGTACTTTCGCGTCGATCGGCAGCTTCATTCGACCCAGGCCCCGCTCCCGATGGTGGCCTCACAGCTTGGACCCAAGTCCTATGCACGCACCTAACTATCCTGACCACCTTTGGCTTCTTCACGTCATTCGGCGTGTATCAGACCTACTACGAAAACACACTCGGCATAGCTTCCTCGACCATTTCCTGGATTGGATCGCTTCAGGTATTCCTTCTCTTCTTCCTTGGCACTTTTACAGGCCGTGCTACGGACGCTGGACTTTTTCGCCCGGTCTACATCGCTGGTGCGTGCTTTCAGCTACTCGGTATCTTTACCTTAGCGGAGAGCAAAAGTGTTTGGCATGTCTTTCTCTCTCAGGGCGTATGTCTGGGAATTGCAAATGGGTTGCAATTCTGTCCGTCCATGGCCCTTGTCTCCACTTACTTTGTCAAGCGTCGTGCTTTTGCGCTGGGCTTCACAGCGCTGGGGTCCTGCACTGGGGGCGTCATTTTCCCGGTTATCGTGCAGCAATGTCTACCCAGCTTAGGCTTTCCATGGACGATACGCATCATCGGCTTTATCATGTTGCTCATGAATGCCATCACCATCGGCTTGTACCGTACCCGGCTCCCTCCCAGGAAAAGCGGTCCATTGGTCGACTGGGCGAGCTTCACAGAACTGCCATATGCTCTGTACTGTGCTGGTGCCTTTTTCAGTTTCTGGGGGTTGTATTTCGCTTTCTTCTACATTGGAAGTTATGCGCGAAATGTTCTTGGTGCCAGTTACCAGCAAAGTATCAATCTGCTTCTCGTGCAAGTATGCATGGGGTTTATCTTTCGCCTACTGCCGACCTACTATGCCGACAAGGTTGGTGGGCTTAATGTTCTTATACCGTTCGCGTTTGTCTGTGGTATCATGATGTTCGTATGGATTAGAATCAACTCCATCGTCACCCTGTACATATTTGCTGTCATATATGGAAGCGGGAGCGCCGTTATCCAGGCGCTTTGGCCTGCGGTAATCGGAAGTATGAGTCAGGAGAGAGATCTGAAGAAGTCTGGGGTGAGGATGGGCATGGCCTTCACCGTGGTGAGTATATCGAGTTTTACAGGTCCGCCACTAGCTGGAGCGATTATCCAGAGTCACAATGGCAACTACACGTATGCGAATGTTTGGGCGGGTCTGTCTTTCTTTGTAGGAGGGTTTCTTTTACTTGCTACTAGGGTGTCGCTGGTAGGCTGGGACTGGAAGGCAAAAGTCTAGAGGTAGCTTGCATTGAGCGTTCCTTGGCCTACCTTTCGTGCGTTGCCGCGATGTGTTCAGGATGACTAGGATTGGGGGGGGTACAAGGGAACATGTTCCGTGCGATCTATGGGAAGATCATGACTTGCGACGTTCTTGCACTATCCTTCCTATTTATCCTTGAGCGTAGTGACCCTTGCTAATAGGCCGGGGTCTTCTCTCTCTTTGTCCATCTTGGCATGCCAATCCGCCTCGGCCTTGGCTGCATTTTTGCGAACCCGCGCAGTGTTCCACTTCATATAATAACAGCAAAGCGGGAAGAAGATTGAGTCTACCACAGCCCAGGCAGATAAGATTCCAAAGTTCAAGCCAACTCGTGGATGCAGATCGAACAGGATTGACCGTGTGAGCTCGACGATATTGTGCATCGGCCAACCATAGCCCCAGCGATAAAAGCTCGGTGCAAGCTCGAGGGCATAAAACCCAGTGGCGACATTGCTGATGACCCAGAAAATGAGCCACAACGCCGTCCAAGGGGAGCCCAGCAGCATGGCCATATTCTCGCTCGCAAGGCCAAAAGCAATCATTCCGATCCAATTGCCCATCCAGTATACCAAGAAGGTACCTCTGCCATACGCGTTAGGGTTACCGGCAGGCTGATTGTGGGAGGCAGTAGGACGGTCCATGGGCATAAGGTAGGCGAGGCTGACAAAGGAGTAGACGAGAGAGAGAAAGAAGTAAGATGCGACCGTCGCGATGTAGCGCCACACGATAAGCTGATAGAAGTGCAGCGGTGGATGACCTTTGGGCGAGAGGTACTTCAGATGGATAGGTAGGAAGAACGTAAAGCTAAGAAAGGAGATGATGACTAGATAGCGGTGTAAGATATTAGTATATGTCACATGCGGTTCGTACAGGAACATTGCTCACTCAGGTATATAAGGCCAATGCTAACCGCGGGTGTAGCAATAGGCGGTCCAAAGGGGCGCAAGTCGTTGACGGTGAACTCAATGCCGGGAGAGAGAGCTTGGGGTGCGATGTCTAGGCGCATGTCCGTAACTGAAACGTTGTTCTGGAGAAGATGTGCGATCCACGCGCGGCCAAATTCGGTGACTACGCGCTTCTGGAGGGTGTTAATACTGGGTACAATGTAAGTCGAGGTGGTAATTTGATCGCGCGCCGAATTATAGATGATCTGGCAGGCACCCAAGGGATCGTAGCTCGCGTTCCCCAGTTTCACTGCGGCATCGAGCATTGCTGTGGCGTTGGAATTGATGATGACGGCCGCCCAGGCATGGAAGTCGTAAACTTCGTTGCGTACGTTCAGCGAGTTGTTGTTGAAGTCTTCGGGAGACGCAAAGGTGTAGCCAGGCACCACTCCATCTTCCTCCATAATGCTGCGAACAGTGCGAGTGACAAACGGACCCACGAAGGGTGCGACCCCGGTAAACGGTGGCTGGCCATCGAAGTCTACAACGGAGATGTTCAGACCCCCCACGTTTGCATTTTGACGAAACAGTGCACCCCAGAAAAGGCAAAGAAAGGCCATGATGGCAATGGCGAGAATGAGATTTGTACGAAGCCAGAGCCTGATCACGTGTAGCCTGACACCGGCCATGGACGAGTGAAAGAACCCGACAGGCGCCTGTTCTTGCACGATCCTGCGGCTACTCTTTGTGCGGCCACGCTGCAGCGTTGTTAGCCTATTGGGAGCGGCGGTGGTGCTATGCACTGTCTCAGTCTTGACACCCGTGGTCTGCTGCTCCAGAGGAGTAGAGCTGGCGGCGGCGGAAGCTTGTATTCCCAGCTCGGACTCGCTAGATGAGCTGAAATCGTATTCGTGATGATATCGTGGGGCGATCTGACATCCAAGTGTGGAATGAGACATGTTGGGCGCTATGATTGATTACCTACTGGACATTTTCACTGCTTATATTTCCTGAGGCCCTGACACTTAGTGCTTGCTGTGGGTTGCTGACGGATGTACGCTAAAGTGACGCTGGTTCATTTGCAGTGAGATGATTCGACGGTTCCGTCTCCAGTGAACGCTACCTACCTATGTAGTTACCTACCTAGATAAGCTTCACTCCCGAGGTCTTGAGTTACGGCCGATGTGGCTGATGCCAAAATCATTGCTCAGCATTCTAGGTAAACTGATTCGAGCTATTTGAACGGTTCAGTAGAGTTTCCGCTGTGTGAGCCCAACGATCAGAGCTGCGCGTGTGGTTCCCAGATGGTACGAAACCCCAAATCGGTATAGCTTGGTGGCTGACATAAGCCCGGGAGAATCCAGGAACCACCTGAGCACGGATCCGCTCAATCGCGCCACATGCCAACCGCCCAACTCTCATCATGACGGACGCGGACACTTGTGGCTTCAATTACTGCCTTTGCGGGGAACTGGGCCTTCGGTGCATCGCTTCAGACCCATCTGCAGAATAGGCATGTCGGGCAGGGGGCGCAGAGGCGGTCGCAGCGCTAGAGGTGGCAGAGGACGAGGCAGAGGCAAGACACGAATAGTAAGCTACCGCCAAATCGCGAGACAATCGTGAGACAATCGCCACAACCAAACACTACTAAAATATGCGCAGTGGGAGTGGGAAGCATACACGCCTGGCGCCGAGGTGTACGACCAGTTATGGCGCATTCGCAAGGAGCCTGCCACTGTCACCGCACGACTACCTAACGTCTGCCCTATGTCGAACGCACGAACGCGAATACTCCATCGCCGACAGACCGAGGACCGCTTCAAGCGGGAGCTATACACCGTAGAGGTCACATATACGGGCGGACCGGGGAGTGCACGGGACGGTATTGCCCTTACACAGCTTGAGGATGTGGACCTGCAACGCATACTGCAGTTCGTTTCTCCAGCTGAACTGGAACGATATGAAACTGAGCAGTTCAGGCTCGAGGCAGAGGCAGAGGCCATTGCTATGCGCACCGAGGCCGAAGACCTGGCGCGTCGCCAACTGCGAAAGAATGCCAAAGGGCCAAACGCCAGCAAAGGGAGCCGCATGCTCAGCGCGCTCGCCTTCTCTGTAGAGCCGACCCCACGTTCACGGGGTCGACCGAGAGCCACACGCGGAAAATGCAGGGGAAGGGCGAGAGGTGTAGAGCCAACAAGAGGCCTCGTCGTAAGCTCCCGACAGCTCAAGAACGACATGCACGAGCAGCTGGTAGACAGCGAACCTATGGTGTTCGATCGCACGACCGAACACGTCGGACAACCCACGCAGACATCGCCCAACACCACACGCTCGGCTTTTGTCGCCAACAGCGCTCTTTCGGTATCACCAATACCCAGGAGAGTATCCATCTCTGTCCCTCGACGGGAACTTTCAGAAGTTTCCGAACCTTCCGAACCAGAAGATGTGGACTACTTAGCGCTCAGCGACAATGATGCAAGATCTACAAGAGGCGACTTACCATCGCTCGCAATCGAGGTTGGGAATGCGGGCAGCAGTAAAGATCGTCCGTCCTCTAGCCCATCCGGGATCGAGAGCACTCTTCCATGTCAACTTCACCCCATCATACCCGCTTTTTCACCGTCTGCTGATAACGTGCTCCAAGAAGCTCCAACGGCAGCTCCATTTTCCGCGCGAGACTCTGGCTCCCCAGCTCCATTGGATTCCAGAGTGGCGGACGTCCTTCTGCAGACAGCGTCTTCCTCTAATTATTCAGCGCTTGCTGCATCAGACCAAGACGACATAATACCCCCACAACCCGCTTCGCCGCAATTTGAATCGGACGGATACGTCGGCAGCCGAATAACATCTATGCGCACATTGTATCCGGGACAACAGTCGCTCGAACACAACAACGAAGACGATGCAGAAGCGGATGCAACGGAAGAGTTTGCTGTAGAGGCCATCGTGGCGCATTTTCACGAGCACGAGAAGAACTACTACCTCGTCAAGTGGGAGGGATACGAAGACAGCCATGATTGGCTTCCTGAAGAAGATCTTGAGGGCGCTGCAGACCTGGTCACTGAATACAAGGAACGGATTGGATGGAGGAACAAGAAAGTCGAAATAAGATGACATGATGTAACGAATGGGTTGAATGTAGATATGGGCTTCAATCTCTTAGTTGGTCGTCAGAAGACCAGGCATGTTGCCATGTCCCAATGCCTCATCTGCACCGTATCCATGTGCCTGCATCAGACGTTTCGAATTCCATCCACAGGGCCAGTTGAAAGAGGAGTGCGTCTCGGACAGACCCGTGTGTTGATCTGCTTACGTATATTGACTTACCTCCCTTGCTTGTTTCAGATCTGATGATATCGTCGCAGGATAATGTGGTTCGTGGGGCAACAAAGCTCGTCGCGGTGAACTCGTCAACATTGTAAGTTTGCCACACTGCACACCAACAAGATCGTCCCACCGCGGCATGCTCCTCATCTTCAAGTACTAGTTCCAGGTTCCCATGACGCCCAGGTGAACTCCGAGACGCTCCAAGGATTAGACATGACGCGAATTGATCGCGCCACACTGCAATGGTCCGCTAGAACCTTGCTCCCGAGGTCTGAAGCAGATTGATGATCAAGGCCTTAACAGGCTTCTACGGTAACATAGCAGACTAGGGTGTAAGTTGGTGTATACATTAGATGTAACATGCAGAACGCGACCGGAGTTCTATAAGCCGCCGGAGCGAGTCACGTGACGCGATGTCTCCAGGGTTCAGCCGAGGTCGTGGCTGAGCTGCGACATGCAACAACACAACACAGCGGCCACCGTCACTCTTGTACGCGACACAAGCATGTCGTCTTCTACGCGCTACGCCTACCCCTTTGCCGCCTCTCCCGACATCATTCGCTCGCACCAGAAAGACGCCTACTTCTCCGGCGTGCTTCTCGATCAGCTCTCGACGCTGTTGCGCAAGCTCTATGGCGCGCGCACGTCGCATACGTATGCGTCCGAGACGCGTGTAGCCGGAGAAGTCCTTTACCTCGGTCTGACGACGCTGATAGGGAACCGGACCCTGGGCGAGGAATACACAGACATTGTCCAGGTGGAAAGCGAAAGCGGACGCCTGCCGGCGCTGGGCCGCAGAGCTGGATACATACTCGGCTGCATCTTGGGGCCATATGTGCTCGGGAGGGCATTGCCGGCCTTGAGGCGGCGAGTGCGCGCAAAGCTCGAGGCGAATTTGCGGTGGCATGCACGACAACAGGCACAGCAGAGTGGGAGCAAGACACAGATAGGGCGACCGTTGGGCATGCGCGTACAAAACTACCTACTCCGAAACCTCGACACCATTACATCGCCATCACCCGTGTACGCTCTCTCGTTGGCAACGTTTTACTTCTCCGGGAGCTACTACCACCTCTCAAAACGGATATGGGGGCTCCGGTACATCTTCACGCGCCAGGTGACCGAGGGCGACAATCGCGCAGGCTACGAAGTCCTGGGCGTATTGCTAGTCCTACAGATGGCTGTACAGGCTTACCTACACGTGCACAATACTGTCACCTCTTCGACAGCGGCAGTGGGTGGCGGCCACCCGCAAGGCACGTCGGCCATTGTCGGTGGCGGCGCAGAAGTGTCTCTGGATCCCAATGCTTACAGCGCCAACAACGCGCTACTATTCGACGCAGCGTCGGCGGTGCCCATAGCGGCGCCGTCCGACGTGCAAAAGTGGACACAGACACCAGCGTTGGACAAGGCAAGATACGAGCTGGAGGGGGAGGAAACAATGGGATGGATTGGCGGCGGCAATCGGAAATGTACGCTGTGCCTGGAAGAGATGAAGGATCCGAGTGTGACGACGTGTGGTCATGTCTTCTGTTGGACGTGTATCGGGGACTGGGCGCGGGAGAAGCCCGAATGCCCGCTTTGTAGGCAGACGTGTCTAGTGCAGCATGTGCTCCCGCTGAGGGGGTAGACGGGTGGCGTGTACAATCACAATATCTTCTCGGCCTCATCTATCAGTCGCTCTACCTGGAATGCGCTGTCTCCGCGGGTGAACATGTCGAGAAGCTGGCTGCGGCCCTTGCCCTCTTCCGTCTGCACGTAGAACTTCTGCATGCACATGACGAGCCATCTGGCGTCGTCGACGGATACGCCCCTGTTCTCAGTGACCAAGCCCTGGCCCAGGACCAAGTTGTGGGTCTCGGCGAGCTCGTGGTGGAAGGTGACGGTGGTGTGGGGACTGGCGAACTCGCCCCTGAGCTTGAACTCTGCCAGTGTCGTGAACATGAGCGTGGTGGTATCGACGTGCGGGTGGGAGAACTGGAGATAGTGCAGCTCGGCGGCTTGCTGCGTCTGAGGCGGCTGCTGCGAGGCCGATGGGGCGTCGGCGGGTATCTCGCGGGGGACAGGGAGGACGAACGAGGGGTGCTGTTTGGCGCTGCGAAGGAGCTGGGAGAAGGTGGTGGCGGGGACAGCGAAGTGGATGCTCTGCGGGTTGGCAGCGTGGCGTAGGCGCCACAGGGCCTGGACTTCCTTGCTGGGGAGCGCCTGGACTTTGGCGAGGTCGAGGAACGAGTTGAGCGTCTTGACGCCCGGCGGCGGGGCCGTAGGAGAGCCTGGCGCAGCGGGCGGCGGCGGCGGAGGTGAGGGCCAGGGAGTCTCGGGCGGCGGCGTCAGGGGCGCGGTTGCGCCGGGCACTATGGCCTGCTTGCGCAGCTCCTCGATCTTGTCCTTGTACTGCTCCTTGAGCTCGTCGAGGTCCTTGAGGCCCTGTTGGCGCGCCTTGTGCTCGAGCTTGTCCCGGTACTTGGCGAGGATGCGCTCTTGCGAGTCGTGCGTGGCGAGGAAGCGGACGTCGTGCACCTGCGCCCAGCGGCGCTGGACGGCACGCGGGCTGGCGAGCGGCTGGCGCAGGGCGTGACGCAGCGTGGGGAGAAGCATGGTGGGCGTCGAGGAAGCAGCAGCGGGGGTGCAGAGTGAAGGGAAATTGCTGCGACGACGACGGCGGACGTGCGCCCATGCCCGCCGCTAGCGCGCGGGAGTAGCCACGGCGCCAATGCTGCTACTGCGACAGATCACGGCATATCGTACATCGCATATCGCATATCGCATATCGCATACCGCATATCGCATACCGCATAGCGCACCGCGCATCGCGCCGACCGCCGACCGCCTATCCATCCCGCCTCCCCTCGTCCGCCTCGACGGGCTGCTGCCAGCGGGCATGGGCGCAGTCAACAGCAAGGCCGGCGACGCAGGCGCCCTCTATCTGCGCGACCAGACTCGATGTAAGCCGCCGCCTCGATCCAGCTCGCCCGCTCGCCCGCTCGCCCTGCTAACCCTCGCGTGCAGTCTCCGTCGCCGCCCTCACCATCACCAACGCCCGCAACCGCACGCTACTCCACGTCTCGCCCAACGCCTTCCCCGCCGCCCGCTATGCCGCCAAGCGCGAGCCGGGCGACGACACCCTCATCGACTTCGTCCAGGACCCCGACGCGCTGCCCTACGCCGATGGCCCGCCCGCCTTCCTGCTGCGCCTGCCCAGCGACGACGAGCTGCTCTTCCACTTCACCTTTGTCCTGCGCCAGCACCTCGCCGTCCCCGCCACCTACACGCCTCCACCGACGGCCCACGGCGCCCCCACGGGCCTCGTCGACACCCACATCCATGGCCTGACGTTTGTCTTTGCCTCGAGCGAGCGCGACCTCGACAATCTCGTCACGCGCGAGTTCCACGCCAACCCCAACCTCCACAAGAACCCCCAGGTCGAGCTGGTCGGCGACTACTCCACCGCCGGCCACTCGTCGGTCCAGTTCCAGTGGTCGTGGAAATGGACTCCGCCCCGCGCCCCCGAGTCGCGCCCCGGCGGCTGGCGCACCAGCTGCAGTGTGTGTAGCCCGCCTCGTCTGCCACTCCGTCGCCGCAACTGCTGACCCCCTCCAGTTCGTCGAGTATGACCAGCGCGCCCACCGCCTCGAGACGCTGGCGAGCTTCACCGTCTGGGTCCAGAGTCCGTACCGTCCCCCGCCCTGCCCCCAACATCCGCTGACTACAACAGACACGCCGCGCCAGCTGCAGAGCCCAAAGTCGCCCTCGCCGCGCCTCGAACTCGGCGTCCCTCCCCGCCTGCGCGTCCCCTCGGCCCAGTCGATAGAGTCTCGCGTCAGCGACTCGGCAGGCGAAGACCGCGAGTGGGACGCGATACCTCCGCGATCGCCCATCTGCGAACCCATCCCCGAGCACAGCCTGGGCCTCGTACCGAGCCACACCACCACACTGGCGAGCGGCACCGCCTCAGTCAAGCTCGACGTCTCACGCCCCGGTGAAGACCTCAGTCAGACCGACGATGGGCCGCTGTTTCGCGCCACGATGAAGTCACTCGAGCAGAAGACGGGCAACATGCGCACCAGGTGGAAAAAGGTCCTCAAACGCGCCGAGTCCGCCATGGAGGCCCAGGTCGCATGCAACAATGCCATGGCCGACCTCATGGACGCGCTCAGAGAGGCCTCGTCGTCCAATGCAAACGCAGTGCAGCCGGCCATTGACCACTACTTTGACAAGATTGCCAAGGAGATTCTGGGCTACGAAAAGTCCAATTCCACAAACATCCAAAAACTCATCATTGATCCCATATACAAGCTTTACAATATCGACATCAAGCAGGCCGAGACGAAACGCAAGGACTTTGAGGAGGAGAGCAAAGACTACTATCAATACCTAGGACGATATCTCGGCCAACGGCAAGACTCACTGAAGGAGAAGAAGCGCGCCGAGACCGACTCAAAATACCAAGCCAAGAGGCGCAACTTTGAGCTGAAGCGCTTCGACTACTCCTCATTTATGCAGGACCTGCATGGAGGTCGGAAAGACCAGGAGGTGCTCTCCCACCTTACGCAATATGCCGATGCCCAAGCCAAACGCTATCTTGAGACGGCGAAGAAGATTGAGACCATGCTGCCGCACCTAGAGGCCCTGAGCTGCGAGGTCAAAGAGGCAGACAAGGAGTTTCAGATCCAGAGGACCGAGCGCGAGGAGAAAAGACGAGCGCTGGAGACGATTAAAAAGACTTTCGATGAGGTACCCGTGCCCTCCCTCACATCTCCCGCAGCATCAACAGGCAGTGTGCCGAAAACAACGTCGAGGTCAGATCCAGAGCCGCCTCCTGGCCGCAAGGGCAGTCTTGTACCCATGTTTCAAAGCACAGTCATGCCGCCCCAGACTATCTCATCTACAAGCATTCCCTCCTCCATAGCGTTACCGCAGAGCCCCGAGGCTACCAAGGCGAGCCTGGCCATGGCGGCCCCGCAGCCGGACAAGTTCAAGGGAATCAGAGATCTCGAAGAAAAGGACCCCGCTGCAATGGCCGAAGCTGGTTCGGGTGCGCACCGCAAGGAAGGTCTTCTGTGGGCCCTCAGCAGGCCCGGAAGCCATGTGGATCCCAAGGGCTTGAACAAGCAAGCCTGGCATAAGTAGGTATAGCCTCTTTCAGTCGGAAGCCTGCTGACATTATCCAGGTTCTGGATCGTCCTTGATCAGGGGAGGCTTTCAGAGTACACCAACTGGAAGCAGAGTCTAGAGCTGCACATGGAACCAATCGACCTCCGCATGGCCTCAGTAAGGGAAGCGCGCAACGCAGATCGCCGGTTTTGCTTCGAAGTCATCACCCCCCAATACACGCGAGTGTACCAGGCAACCAATGAAGAAGACATGAAGTCGTGGATCAGTGCAGTCAACAATGCTTTGCAGACAGCTGTTGAGGCGACAGGAAAATCGGATCGGCCATCAACAGACTCGCTGCCTGGACAGACGCACCGAGATATTGCATCAGTGCTCACGGGTAAGAGTCCATCAATGTCAAGTCATCGAAACACGTACGGCTCCAAGGCACCGGCGCGGCATGCCACAGTAGGTGATCGACCTGGCGGATACCGGCGAGAGGAGGCGTTTGGCGATGAAGGTAAGCTGCTTAAGCAGGTAAGAGACGCGGATTCCAGCAACAAAATGTGCGCAGATTGCGGTACGGAGATCAAGGTGGACTGGGTTTCCATCAACCTCGGCATCATCATTTGTATCGAATGCAGTGGCATACATCGGTCACTCGGCACCCACATTACAAAGGTGCGTTCTTTGACTCTGGATGTCACGTCCTTCACTCCCGATATCATCGAGATACTGCTCAAGATCGGCAACCGCGTCAGCAATTCCATCTGGGAAGCAAGACTGGAACCCGGGCTGAAGCCGGGGCCAATGTCGACAAGAGAGCAAAGGCTGCATTTCATTACTTCAAAGTACGCCGATCGGACCTACGTAGCACCCATAACACCGAACATGTCACACTACGCAAATCCAGAGGAGACGCTTCTAGCGTCGGTTAAGAAGAACGACATTCAGAACGTGCTCTACGCTCTAGCTCTGAGGGCAAATGCAAACGCACGCGACCGATCACGAGGCACACACGCCGTGTTTCTAGCGCTTGCAGCCGCCGACCCAGCATCTCCTTCAGCGACGGCATCACCAGCAAGCTCGCCAAGCTCAGCGGCTCGCCCAGGCACAGCGCAGCCTAGCCGCAAAGCGTTCCCCGTAGCGGAGCTGCTGCTGCAAAACGGGGCCGAGCTGCCAATGCTGCCAGCGCCCATTCCCCTCGGCCACTCGGCACGAAGCTATCTTGACTTCAAGGCAGAGCAGCGTGCTGGCAAGCGGCCGGCACCCATGGTGGGCAGTCAGGCCGCACCCAGCGCAGAGAAAGCTCCGTCTTTGCCGCCCATCATGGCGGGCAACGGCAGCTCTCCGTCGGAACGAGCGCGCGAACGGGATGCGCGGCTGCAAAAGCGAGTCTCGGCGAGCGGAAGGTTGGTCAAGACTCCGAACGTCGACTTGAGTGAAGGTAAGCGCGGCTCGTAGAGCTAGCCGATGCTTACATGTTGTGTCTTGCTGTAGTGTCTACCTTCCCTGGGCGGCGTGCGGCCTGGTGCG